AAAAAAAAAAGTACCTTATTTCATACTCCTAATTTTGCTTCACATTTCTATCACATTGTGGTTTCTGCTCATTTTGATCTCTTCATTAACCCTGAGGAATCAGGATTGGTATTATCACCGTTTAGGATTGGTATTATCACTGTTTATGAGTAAGCTCAGATAGTGCCTTGTCCAAGCTCACCCAGCCAGTAAGTAGGATAGTTTCAACTCCAGGACAAAGATCTATGCCTGCTTTCCTTCCGCGTGGAGTTAAACCTTGGTATATGTGACTTGATCTCATCTTTTAGCTGTCTGATAATGAATTAGACATTGTCCTAATTCTGCTGGAATTTCCTTTCCTCACTACTGTGTATGTGTGCAGCCCACGTAACAACTGACCCATGTGAGCTTAGTTTCTCAGATGTTCAGCAGATACAAGGTCCTTAAAATAAACTTGTAAATATAGGTGTTATTAATAATCTGGACCCCAGTCTCAAGATGAAAGGTTGTCTCTGTACTTTTTTCTTAACTCTGCTCCATATTTTCTTCACCAAACAAGTTTTTCTAGCTTAGAGACCACGATTTCTTCCCCAACTTCCCCATAGCTCTAAGGGTTAGAGCACTTTATTTTGGGATTGACAATCCAGTTGATCTTATTTCCCATTAATTGTCTTTCCATCAGACTTAAAAGCTGACTTCTCCATAAAGTATCAGAATGTGGAAAGGTCCTGGAATGATTATCAAAATGAAAGAGCAAAAAAAGAAAACACCTCCCTAGAGGTGCAAGTGTTAAAGACAGTGCTATCAAGCAATCACCAACCACTGCAGCACGAATGGAAACCCAGCAGGCCAGGGAACTAACACACCTGGCACAGCAAGCCTTTCCTGTCTCACCCAGGGCTCCCCTCAGCAGTGTATTTCAGTAGATTGCCTTTTCTGTTCCTCATTCTCTCTGGTGAATCCTCTCACATTCTCCCCAAACTCAGCTTACACCCAGTTCTTATATGCATAAATAAACAAATCTTGAAAAAAGAAAAAGGAAAAGAAAACCCAGTGAGGGCTGAACTTTAATTTTACTTTTGACTTTTTATTTCTTTAAGTTAGTATTTGTGTCAATAGTTATATGCATGTGTATGTTCCAGTAGTTTAAATTATAACTTTTGCCTGAAATCTGGTATTCAATTGCTCCTACCAAATCCTACCATGTCCCATGACTTGCTGTCAGATCTTGTAACATCTCATTCCCAATAGTCATACCAAGCAACTGATCATATCTCTATGCTGAAGTTAGATTTTAAAATATGTGAAGTATGACAATGTCAGTCAGTCTTTTTCCCCCCCGGGATTCACAAAATGCAAGTCATCCCTTGTCTCAAACAAATTAAAACAACTGGGAAGTTAACTACAAACTCAAATATAAGCTACAGATAAGGATCACTACCCTCCAGAAATTTGCATACTTTATACATTTATCAAATTATTTTTCAGGTCCTCTCAGCAGGCAAACTTCTTTCCTTGTTATCTTTTACCAACTGAAGGAGCACACAAAAAGACTTCGCTGCTGACTACGCGATTGTACCATCCCTCTTCATACTGCAAACTTGGGGATCCTTTAAATGTCTCGAACTTGAAGTTCATGGATATAGTTTCTTTTTTCTTTCTAAGTATTTATTTTTATTTATATGTATTTATTTATTTAAAAAAAAGATTTATTTTATTTATTTGTACAGAACTGGGGTACAGGCCAGGGATGTGGAGGGTAAGAGGATTCACCAGAGACAGAGTGGGGAGCAGAACAGGCAGATCGACGAAGTACACTGCTGAGGGGAGCAGCGGGCGGGTCAGGAGAGGTCTGCCACGCCATGTGGTCTCCTCCTCCGGGGCAGGCTGGAATCGAACTCCTACGAAAGTGGCTTAAGCTTCTTTGTGCTGTGCTTTAACCAGCTGCGCCACCAGGGAGGGCCTATTTATATTTATTTTTATGCATACAAAACTGGGGTGCGAGCCAGAGGTGTGTGTGTAGGAGGGGAATGTGAGGACTCACCAGACAGAGGAGCAAAACAGGCAGATCTAGTGAAATACACTGTGGGGAGCAGCAGGTGGGACAGGAGAGGTCTGCTGTGCCCTATGGGTCAGCTCCCTGGGTGGGGATCAAATTCTTGCTGCAGTGGCTAGTGACAGCTTGATAGCACTGAGACTTTAACCCCTGCACCACCAGGGAGTCCGCACCATGGATACAATATCTGTGGTATTTTGTCTAAGCCAAATCTAACATTTTCCTTGACCCGATAAAAGATTAAGAATGCCATTTAACAAACACCATGTAAGGGAAGGGGGGCTATGTGTACTTAAAGGGGGCTGTGTATCAAGCTTGTTTTGGGTGATTATTCTTTTGCATGCCAAGTCATTTTACTTTAGTTAGTAGTTAGGAGCTGTTTTATAATAAACTTGATGTCCTTTTTACGAAACGTACTACCGAAAGATTTGTTAACTGATCATTGTGCATGGCATATAGTAGGTGCTCAACACATATTTATGAATATATGAACCTCTTTTGTGCCTTATTTTTCCTCATAAATGAAGGCAGATAACAATGCCTACCTAAAGGGATTGCTGGCAGAATCAAAGAAGCTTATAGAAATCACTGGATAAAAAACACTTGTGCTTTATTTCCTTGAGTCTATGTCTGTCAGCCCCAGGGGAGGCCCAAGAAAGAATCCTTCTCCTGTCAGGACAAGGCTCTGCCTAGGAGGGGCTGTGGAGCCCCATAATGTCCAGACCCTCAGATTGCCCCACCTCTGCTCTTTGCTGTTTTCCTCCTCAAACAGAGGGGGTAGGGATACTTGAAGGACTAGTCCTGGTGTCATGGGAACTGGCTCCATTCAGGCAGGCAACTGCCTCAGGCAAGAGTTAGGTTTTGAGTAGAGAACAATTCCAACAATGATGAAAATTACCCAAACCCGGAACAGTTGTGCAAATGGCGGCCTTTAATACTGGAAAGACCATGCAGAGTGACAGTACAGGACCAAGCCTTCAGAGGGTGGTGCTGAGCCAGCCTCTCACAGGACCCTAAAACTTAATCCAGTAACAAAACAAGTCAATTATTTATTTACATTTGTGCCTGTCCTGGAAACCCAGGGAAAGTCTGAGGTCCAAGGCTATCTCTCCTTCCTTTTCCTCCCTCTCTTCCGACCTCCTTCTCACCTTCTTTCACTTCCTCAGTTCTTTCCCTTCTGGCCTCTCCTTCCTTCTCCTTCCTTTTTTCTTCTCTACTTTTCCCCCATTCTTCCACCATCTATCCATTTTTATCACTCCAAGACTATCTGCCCAGGCCCTCAGCTCTGCCTCCCTCAGATTTAACCTCCATGGATAGGGAGGCAGAAAGAAGTCTTCAGACCAGGGAGCACTTGCTGGTGTTCTTCTTGTTACAAGTTTTCAACTCAGAACTGGAGAGCTTGTTGCTGTTTCCCTAGAGGAAGAAGGGCATAGAGGTCGGGATGAGAATGACTGGCTGGAGAATGGGCCTAGAATTGTTTGAAAGGGACTTACCCTCCTGGGAAGTCTCAGCACTGTTTCCTCATCAGTCCCAACACACACACACACACACACACACACACACACACACACACACACCAGCAGAACTGACAACTGACTCACCGATCTCCGGCCTGCTGACTTGAGCAAGATGTCCCGCGCCAGGGAACTAAAGGCCTACCAGGAAAAGAAGAATGATCAGGAGAGACTGGAGAGGAAGATCAGTCTATCTTCCAATACTCCATCTCACTGGACAGTGGGGTAGGTGAGCTTTATCTCACCTCATCCACATTCATACTGGATTTGGCACTTGTCTCAAAAAACCGGATTCCATGTTCCCGAGCCAACTGTAGGGGTGATGTGGGAAGAGAGTTGCATAAAGGAAAATAATAGCCAAGTCCTTTTCAATATGGCCCACGTTGGCCCTCCCAGCCCAATTGTCGAATATTGCCCAGTTTGGCCCTTTACCTTGTCAGCCTGCTCCTTCTGTACCTTCCTCTTGGCCTCCATGTCACACTTGTTCCCCAGCAAAAGGCGCTCCACTCCAGCTGAGGCATTCTGGGAGCAGAAGGGTAAGACAAGGAAAAGTTGGGTATTGTTCATACTCACGACCCCCTTCATCCTCCAGGTTATACCCAGTTCCCCCATTTCTGTGCAGAATCCTCACCTCTTTGATGCTTTTCATCCAGTTCTGAATATTTTCGAAGGATTTCTCATCTGTGATGTCATATACTAGGATGATGCCCTAGAAAATGGCAGAGCTCACAATGAAGTCATGGACCACATTTTTCTGTGTTGGCTTCCTGCTGCTCTCTAAGCAACCCTGCAAGTTCTATCCAATGTCTAATCAGTAGGCCACGTGAGGCCTCTGCAACCAAGTCTGTGCCCACCCCCAACCCTACACCTGTGTTCTCATATATTCCATTACCTCATACCCTCATCCCTTGTCCAGACCCACACCTCATACCATGGCTCCACGATAATAGGCGGTAGTTATCGTCTTGAATCGCTCTTGGCCAGCAGTGTCCCTGGAGACGTGGAATATTTCATGGGGTGGAGTAGAGAGGTTTTTTTCGAAGAGAGAATCCCTTCCCCCACTCCCAAGAATTTAGTTTTTGCAACAAGGTAGGACTCTAAGGAACAGAATCAGGAAACAGTAAAGGGGTAAAGAGACAGATCCTAGGGCTGATATTGAGATATGGTTGCTGTGTCTTCTATTTATTAATTTTTTAAAGATTATTTATTTATGCATATAAGAACTGGGTTATAGGCCAGAGGTGCAGGGTAAGAGGATTCACCAGACACAGAGTGGGGAGCAGAAAAAAACAGATATACTGAAATACTGAGGGGAGCAGCAGGTGAGACAGGAGAGGTATGCCATGCCACGTGGGTCACCTCCCTGGCCAGGGATCGAACTCATGCTGCAGTGGCTGAGGATAGCTTCATGGTGCTATGCTTTAACCCGCTGCTCTACCAGGAAGGGCCTCCTGTTTATTAATTTAATGGTCCCTCTGTGGCAAGCACCATATATCATTTTGTATGTATGTCATTTTAGCCAATCCTCACTCTATTCTTCTGAGATATGTTCTGTCCCTTTTTATTTTTTTTTTATTTATTTATGCATACAAGAACTGGGGTATAGGCCAGAGGCATGGAGGAGTGAGTAGTGAGATGATTCACAAGAGACAGAGTGGGATGCAGAACAGGTGGACTGACTGAAATAATCTGCTGAGGGGAGCAGTGAGTGGGACAGGAGAGGTCTGCTGCACCATGTGGGTCAGTTTCTTGGCAGGGGATTGAAGTCCTGCTGCATGGTGCCGAGACTTAACCCCCTATGCCACCAAGGAGGCGGCCCTTGTCCCGATTTTACTAATGAGGAAATAGTGTAGGAGGCTAATAACTAGTGAAATTCAGATGGCAGGTAACAGAACCAGAATTTGAACCATAGTCTGCTCATTAATTTTTTTTAAGGATTTATTTATTTATGCATATAAGAACTGGGCCAGAGGTGCAGGGGCTGAGAGGATTCAGCAGAGACAGAGAGGGATACAGAATAGGCAATTGACTGAAATATACTGCTGTGGGGAGCAGTGGGCAAGACAGGAGAGGTCTGCTGTGCCATGTGGGTCACCACCCGGCCAGGGATTGAACTCACTGCAGATAGCTTCATAGTGCTGTGCTTAACACCTCGCACCACCAAGGAGGTCCCCACAGTCTGTTCTTACCAAAGGCATCATAATGCCTCTGCTAAGTCTTGGACCACTTAAATCAGTTTCCAGCTTTCTATGACAGGTCAAAACTTTTCACCTGGCTTTCTGGGCTCCCCATGATTTAGAGAAAGCACTAGTTTTAGAGTCAAGTATGAATTCTGCTATTGCCATTTAACTCCTCAGAGCCTGTGTCTACGTTATACAATAGCTCAAAAGGCATTATTAATCAAGTTCAAAGACTGCTCTGGAACTGGGAGAAAGCTAAAAATAGTTGAGAGAGCAGAAGAGATGGAAAGACATCTGAGTGAGGTGAGCAATGAATTCAGTGTTGGAAGGAGCAATGGGGAAATGGAGAGAATGAAGCAAAATAGAAGGAAGGGGGTTACGAAAAGCAAAGGAGGAAGTTCTATTAGGAAACCTGGAGGACTCACTCACCAGACTTGCAGTTTGATCTTCTTTCCCTCTATATCCACAGTGCGAATCTTGAAATCAATTCCTAGGGGTGGAAGGGTGCATATTGAAGGTGAAAGAAGCTGTGGGTGTGTAAAGGTGTGTGGGGAGAGGCACTGGGGAAGTAATCTTGCTGGAAGTATAAAACAAGAGAAATTTCCCAAAGCTGTATTTGTATAGCCAGTGCCTGGTTTTTTACCTAGATTTTATGGATTCTGGGGGGGGGGGGGGGGGGGGGGGGGGAGGGGAGAAAGACATCTTAAGGTCGTTAAAGCAACTCCTGGGTTCACTTGCCATTCCAGTTAACAACTCAATTTAGTTTGTCTCTCCCAAAATATTACTTTCAGATTCCTTTTCCCTTCCATTTCCTTAGAACGCTCTATTCCCAGTACCTCACCCACCCTCCTGACCCTATAGGGCAAAGCATAAAGAACACAGCTGATGCCTTTGTGAACCAGAGAGCCAGGCTTGGAACCAAGACAGTCAAAGCTAAACAAGAGTCCTCCTGAGACTGCACTAGGAAAGAGGGTCATTTTTCCTTCCCCTTCCTTACCAGAATTGTCTTGAGGCTTTTCTTATCTTATTTCCCAGGCCAGAGATGGTTAAGAAAGATGAGGGAGGAGGGGGTGACAATGTTCTTAGTGGAAACTTGGGCACCTCCCCCAAGCCTCTTGAGAACCCCAGGGAGAAGGCTGAGTCACCAGGCTGACTCAGAGACCCCAAAAGTCCCCTCACTTCCACCTTCCCCAAGAGGCTGACTGCATATTCATGATCAGTCAGTCCTTGGGCGACATTCCAGCACACCCAGCCACTCTGCCCCCCCCTCCCCCAATTCCTGTTAAGTTGAGGAGCAGGGAGACAGGGAAGTAGAGGCTAAGGTGAGGATGCTGGGGGCGCGGGGGGGAGTCTGGAACGCACTTTGACAGAAAGAGGATAGCAGAATTGGGAGAGAACTGTTTGGGAACATGGAATACAGGAAATGTGGAGAGTGCATCAAAAGTTCTAGGTAATTGGGGGGAGGGGAAGAGCAAAGAGAGAGAACTAGAGAAAGGTTTGGAGAGAAGGAGATGGTTGGTAACAAGAAAAAGGGCTGGCCAAACCAGTCAGTCACTTGGCGGCCTCTGAGAGGTTAGTTTGGGTACCATCCAGAGACATGGATGGGGGATGGGTCTCACACAGAGGTGTGGGGCTGGAGTTTTCTAGAAGCCTCACTCCAAGGGAATTGAAAAGTGGGGCCATTGGTTAAACCACAAGCCTGAGGTTGAGGACATGGGGGAGTCGGGTCTGGGATATGGCTAGTGGGCTCACCGATGGTGGAGATGTAAGTGTTGTTGAAGTTGTCCTCTGCAAAGCGAATGATCAGACAAGTCTTGCCCACCCCCGAGTCCCCGATCAGCAGCAACTTGAAGAGGTGGTCGTAGGCTTTGGCCATGGCGGACACTGGGGAGCCGGGGGAGGGGTGGGGAGGCGCCGGGCACCGGCAGGCGGGATTGGATGTTGGCAGACGAGCGCGGCCCGGGGCCCAGGCCAGGAAGAAGTTTTCCTCCCTCTCCGCCCAAGCTCGGGGAATGAGCAGAGGCGGCCCTCTCCCGGCCCCACCCCCTGCCCGCCCACCCCTGCGGCTGGCCACGGGGCCAGCCCTGCCTTCGGTTCTCCGGGCTTTCCCTTCCCAGCCCAGGCCTGTGTCCCTCGCCGTTTCCCACAACTTTTTGGTTACTGTCGAAATCACACTTTTGACCTCGCTCCTCCAGGCTGATACCAGAGAGGCTGGAGTGAAGGAAGTAGAGATTTAACCAGCATGACCAGGTGAAAAGGGGTGGTGGGCAGTTAAGGGGGAGAGCTCCTGGGAATACAGGTGAAGGCCGGGATGGCACTAGGAGTTGACAAAAACGAAGAGCTGGCTTTTGGAGGGTTTGCGCAAAGATGACAGAAGCCTCCCGGAGGCAGTCCTAGAATTCTGGTGTCAGTATTCCAAGTTTTAGAATCTAAACTTTTGAAAAAAGCGGGATGCCCTGGAATGAGGTTATTTTTCTTTTGAATCCGTCTGCCCTCTGGTGGACCAGAGTGGAAATTAATTATACTACGCCGTTAGCCCCACCCTACCCCAATTCTCATTCACACCCACTCGTCTTTTCTTTTTAAGATATATTTTATTTACTTATGCATACAAGAGCTGGGGTGTAGACCAGAGGTGGTGGTGGGAAGGTTTGAGAGGATTCATCAGAGACAGAGTGGGGAGCACAACAGGCGGATTGACTGAAATACACTGCTGAGGGGAGCAGCAGGCAAAACGGGGGAGGTCTGCTGTGCTGTGTGGGTCAGCTCCCTGGCTGGGGGTCCAACTCGTGTAGCAGTGGCTGTGACAGCTTCACAGTCCTGGGACTTAACCTCTTGGGCCACCAGGGAGCCACCCCTCCCCCACTGGCCTGTTCCTAGCTAACTGCTGGAGGAGATTCCGTTGAAACCTTTCATTCTAGGTAGGACTTTGTGTGTCACAGCTCTAATAAACAAGTTCAGGAAAACAGCTTAGCACTACAAGTGTTTGGTCTCTGTTTAAGTTTTTGTTTATTTTTAAAGCTTTATTTATTTATTTATTTATTTTAAAGATTTATTTATTTGTGCATACGGAACTGGGGTGCAGGCCAGAGGCTCGGGCGGTGAGAGGCTTCACCAGAGACAGAGTGGGGAGCAGAACAGACAGATCCACGAAGTACACTGCTGAGGGGAGCAGCGGGCGGGTCAGGAGAGGTCTGCCGCGCCATGTGGTCACCTCCTGTGGGCAGGCGGGGATCGAACTCATGCCTAAGCAGAGGCGGCTTTAGTTCTCAGTGCTGTGCTTTAACCCGCTGTGCCACCAGGGAGGGCCCTAAAGATTTATTTATTTATGCATACAGAACTGGGGTAAAGGCCAGGGGTGCTGGGAGGTGTGTGTGAGAGAGGATTCACCAGAGAGAGTGGGGAGTAGAACAGGCAGATCAAGGAAGTACACACTGAGGAGAGCAGCAGGCAAGCTAGGAGAGAGGTCTGCCTCACCAATATGGGTCACCTCCATGGCTAGGGATGGAACTCATGCTGAAGTGGCGAGGCTAGCTCTGTGGTGCTATTTTAATCTGTTGCGCCACCAGGGAGGGCTCTGATCTCTGTTGTAATGAGGGCCCTGAGACTCCTGTTACTGGACCTGCTGTGAATATACAGCCTTAGCAGCCAGGAAGCTGACGTATGGAGAACATAGCTATAAAGAAACAAATTTATCTTTGCCTTTGGAAAAAGTTATTCAAAATACCTGCTTTCCTAACAGTAAGTCAACATGGTCCTTACATAAAGACAGCATAGTGGTTGTGAGAAGGCAGCTTTTGACATTTACCTGTCACCTTCTGTGCCCATGTTTGTTTCATCTCAAACATAACTTGCCACTCCTCTTTTGTCCATTCTCTCACCTCCTGTGATATCCTTAAGTTTTCTGTATTTTCAATTCAGTCTTTCTCACCAGTCCTTATTCTTCATTTTTTATGGATTGTACTGATAAAAATTAATCAGTTATTTTTTTCATCTTATTTTACCTGGATCTGGGTTTAAGAAGTATTTACTTATGCATATAAGAACTGAGATACAACCAGAGGTGCAGGAGGATGAGAGGATTTGCCAGAGACAGAGTGGGGAGCAGACCAGGCAGATCTACTGAAATACACTGCTGAGGGGAACAGCGGGTGGGTTAGAAGAGGTCTGCTGGGCCATGTGGGTCAGCTCCCTGGCTGAGGTCAAACTCTGTGTGCTGCAGTGGCTGCAGATAGCCTCATAGCACTTTAACCTGCTGCACCACCAGGCAGGGCCTGGATCTGGACTTCTCATGGCTCACATGAAAAGTGCTTGCTTCTCTAGACAGTATTTATGCAATTGTGTACCTGCTGTCACTGGAACCTCATTTCCATAGAAGTCTCTCCTAAACTCTCAGTGCTTTGGTAACAATTATAGAAGACTCATTTCAGCCCTGGATTTTGTATTCTAGAACTCTTCTCTCAGACTAGGGTGCTTTCTCCCCAGACCTTTAATGTCACCGCCTCAGATTTTTCTGACCTATCAGCTGGAACCAACAAATTATCCACATCTCTTAAAAATTCCATGACTCAAAGTGTCACTTTGGTAGTTTGAAATCTGCCATGATAAAGAGTATTTACCCACTGGAAATTAGCACAGACAAGTCAGAGCTCTCCTTCAGAGAGCCAGTTGTTAAACTTTGCCAGTATGTTCCTGACTGGACTCACATCTTGCCTCACTCCTTTCCTCTGCAGTCAGCCAGATCTCCAGATGCTATTTGGGTTATCCTCATTCTTCCTTCATGAAGAATGGACATTCGAAGCCTTTAGTCATTATTGTTGATGATGTTTTGGTCTTCATTTTCCTTTATTAATTGTCAACATTAGCAATACTGCCAAGATTAGAATTTTGGAAAGGCAAACCTGCTGAAAATGTGCAGCAACAATATTGGAATGTAAATGGGCACTCTTTCTTGAAAAGCAGCTTAATACTACTTGGGACAATTTCTTTAATTTCTCTGTTCATCATATTATACGGCAGAAGGGAAACTTAAGACACTAGGGCTAACAAGAACCTGGTGTCTTAAGTTTCTTTTCAGTCATATAACAATCACTTTCCTCTCTGTGAAAAAATGTGGGTAATAGGCCCTCCCTGGTGGCGCAGCGGGTTAGAGCACAGCACTAAGAATCTAAAGCTTCTTCGGCATGAGTTCAATCCCTGCCTGCCCTGGAGTTGTCCACATGGCTCGGCAGACCTCTCCTGACCTCTCCTGCTCCCCTCAGCAGTGTACTTGTCAGTCGGCCTGTTCTGCTCCCCACTCTGCCTCTGGTGAATCCACTCACCGCCCTTGCATTTCTGGCCTGTACCCCAGTTCTGTATGCACAAATAAAATAAATCTTAAAAAAAAATGTGGATAATAATAATATAGCCTCATAGAGTAGTAAAGCAGTCAGGGAAGTTCACATAGTAGGCACTATAAAAGTATTTGATTTTAATATCCAAAAGGGCAGGTTAAAAAGGGAGAGAAGAGTAAATCGCACTTGCATGGACACAGCAGGCAGAAAGAGCTGTCCCTGAACAGGGCAGATTTGATGAAAGTGAGACCTACACAGTCACAGACTAGCAGCCTTGGGAGGAAAGCTGCCTTTGCTGTTTTGCAAGGGAGAAGATCAGTGAAGAGAGGCACCTGCATAGGCACAGGTGGGCAGAAGGGTTGCTGCAACTGATATTAACTGAGAATTGCAAGGAGACAACAGAATTTAACAATGGTTAGCCCTAAGGAAGGGTGGAGGTGGAGGAAATAGGACTTGGCATTTTTTTTATGTTTACATTTCTTAATTGTTACAAAAGGGCAAATCAAACTAACTGAAAAATAGTAAAGAAATTTAAAAGCCCAGGACATGGGACTCGGTCTCACTGTTTTCCTCAGAACTTCCTATTTATTACGCTCCAACTGTCAATGTTTAGCGCGAAATTTTTTAAGTGTCCAGTTATCCCTCGATAGAGATCACAGGCCTTCCTAAGACTGCAAGCTCCCAACATGGCGGTACATCAGCATCACTAACATCTAGGGACCTTCTGAAAATGGCAGCCCCACCGTCCACAATAGCCTTATCAGACCTTCTCAAGATGGCGACAGAAGTCCCATACGTCACTTCCTGTAGGATGATGTATATATGGAGCAGGATTTCCGCTTTCGCTCCTTTCCGGCGGTGACGACCTCCCTACGAGAACATGCCTGTGAGTTCCTTGGTCCAGGTCTCGGCGGAGATCTCGCTCTTCTGCCCGCACGCTCCCCTCACAGGCTGGTCTCCGATCGCAGAGGGTCTTCATTTTCCCTCCGCACTTCCTAGGACATTAACTACAGGGTGCGCTGAGGCCCGCGGGGGCCCCCCTGCATAGACGGGAGCGGAGCGGAGATAAGATGGCGGCCCAGCTGCGCAGACACCAGGGGCGGCGAGGGGCGAGCTCTCCCCGGTGTGTGGCAATGGGCACTGCATTCGACTAGCCCATTTTCGCCTTTGGTTTCTAAATGTGCATTTCTGCCTCTCTCAGCTCGCAAAGGATCTCCTTCATCCCTCTCCGGAAGAGGAGAAGAGGAAACACAAGAAGAAGCGCCTGGTGCAGAGCCCCAATTCCTATTTCATGGATGTGAAATGCCCAGGTGAGGACAGAGCTTATAGTAATGGGGGGAAGCGCTGGACCCAGGAATTACAAAAGTTGCTTTGTGATTTGTGTTTTAGAATTTGAATGTATGATAACATGGGCAAAATTTTGCATTTTAGGAATGACCCAGGGTAATCGCCCATCAAAACTCAATCGAAACTTTAACATTTCTTTGTTTTAGGAACACTTACAATGCTAAGTCGGGAATCTCTTTTGGTCATTTGGAAAACTGGCCTTGTCATTTATGCACTTGGAAACTGGGCTTGTCCCCATTCTGCTTTTTTGGTCTATAAAGGATTTATTGCACTTCACTCCCCTTAGATGCTGTAGGTTATGGGAAAAACCGTAAGTGGGGGCAGATAGTGCAGATTGTTTGAGTGACTTTAATGTACACTAAGACCCAGGTAATTAAATTTAGAACTGTAGATTTCAAGAGCTGACATTGAACATGAATGTGGTCAGTATACTTTAGCATTTATTTGAGTGAAAAAATGCATGGAAAATAGAACACCCTGCTGCTTTTTTTCAGGATGCTATAAAATCACCACCGTCTTTAGCCATGCACAAACGGTAGTATTGTGTGTTGGCTGCTCCACTGTCCTCTGCCAGCCTACAGGAGGAAAAGCAAGGCTAACAGAAGGTAAATAATTTCAGGGTGTGATTTCGAGCTTTTGAGTTTTACAGTGAAGGGGTTCCTGTGTATCAGGTCATTTTGTAAAGAAGGTTGGATTTGATACTTGTATCCTTTTGCCAAACTTACACCTGAAACCACTTCTTTTAAAGAACTGTGATCTAAAGCTGGGGTGGGTGGTTGATAAAAGGGGCTTCATACAACGCTGAAGGTGATAAGACCATAAAGGACCTAGGTAGTAGGCAAAAGCGTTGAGAAAAATGAAGGTGTAGCTTGGGCTGGGTGGATCATCAGTGAAGCATCTTGTTTTGTAGGAGTGGGTAAGTAGGGTGCTGTTAGATAATCTCTGAACTTTTCTCTTCCAGGATGCTCCTTCAGACGGAAGCAGCACTAAAAGCACCCTGAATCAAGATGAGGGCGAAACCATCCTAATAAACACGTTTTGGATACATCCTGTTTATTGTCTTGTTTTACTGCTAGGAAGTTCCTACCTCAAGTGTTGAGGTGCAGCCAGAAGGAGTGGACTACTAGAGTCATTTGATGAGGGCAAGTAAGTGGCCAAGCACTTGTCCATTTGGGGCCTTCTGTCCATTTAGATTCACTGGTAAATCTTTGGGGATTTTTTTTTAAAGCCTGGGACTCTACATAAATAAGATTTTTTTTTTTTACTTTTATGCTTTGTTAGAACTGATAGATGATAGATGGTCTTTAAAAAGCAATCTTAACACAACACCTTAATAGATCGACGCTTGGGATCCTTTATTTGTACTTATAAGAAATTTTATTTGGAGGTTGATGGGTGTAGAAAATGTTTCTAGGCACTAGTCTAGGGCAAACAATTTCCATTTCCCTTCAGTTTCCGGGACTTGTCCAAGAGGTTAGTGTCTTATACTCCATAGCCAGTGTTGTAGCCGACTCTGGGTTGGTGGGGGTTGCGGACTCATGAGAAGAGGGGGATATTGTTTGGAGGTATAAGAACCTAGAAGAGGGAAGGCAGATTGTGACATGTAAATAAAGCATGCATATCCGAGCTGGCCAAAGATAAGGATAGTGATTTTTACCTGTTTGTGGTGTTACTGGAGTTGGTACATATATAACTGGAACTGTTTGTATCTTGTTTAGGAAGGCATTGTATGCTGCAGGGAAAACAAGGGGAGAGATCACCAGAAAGGCAGATCTGTTTTCATTGGAGTTGGGCTATGAGGGGCAAAGTTAACTCCAGAATGAGATCTTAGCATTGCTGTAGAAAAGTGGTAGTGGTTCAAGTTAAAATAAAGCTATAGCTAAATGGTTACAGGATATTATTTCACTAGTTCAGAGATATGTTAACGTGGCTAAAAGATGAGTTAATGCCACATAGAGACAATATTGGTGCTGATGTGTTACTGAGTCATCTATTGTTATATATTTGAGCAAACTTAGCCATTGTCTTGAGGTTGAAAGCTGTTCCTCATGTCTGTGGGGTATTTTATCACAGTTTATTCTTGGTAGTTAAGTTGGGCAGGAACTTTAATCCATTAGGTTTAAGGAGACTGTATCAGTTTAAACTGTCAAAGTAGATGTGATAAATGGCTAATTTTCATCCTCATTTAGTTTGTGAAATAAAATGAAGGCAGTTTCCAACTCAAAAGTCTACGGTGCTGAATATAAAGACTCCTTACCTAGAAAGATGAATGCTGTTGATGCCAACATCGCAAAGAGGGTAAAGAGGAGGACCTGGTAAGAACCCATGAACTTCTGGAAGACACCTGAATCTTCACATTGATCTGTGGGTTGACCAGAACATAAGATGATAACACATCAAGGGCAGATGCTACATTTAAAACCTCATTTTCCATTTAAATGCTCCTAACAGGCAGGAGCATCATTCAAAACCTTGCCCTGTGGCAAGAGTAGAAGAGGTGACCCTGGACTCTGCTCATATACTTGTTTGGGTTTGTTCTCCAAAGTAGTAAATTATATCCAATTCTTGAGTCTCTTTTTTTTTTTCCTTCCTCTCAACTTATAAAAGAATATGTAAGATGTCAGTGTTTCTTATTTTAAAGATTACTCGTTTATGTATGCAGAACTGGGGTATAGGCCAGAGGTGCAGGGGTGGTGAGAGGATTCATCAGACAGTGGGGACCAGAACAAGCAGATCGACCAAGTACACTGGGAGCAGCAGATGAGATGAGGGGTCCGCTGTGCCATGTGGGCCATATTCGGGGCTGGGATTGAACTCCCAAGTGGCAAAGACCAGCTTAGAAGTGCTGCGCTCTAACCTGCTGTACCACCAAGGAGGGCCCATTAGTGACTTTAAATCCATAAATGCCCTATTTTTTTTTTTTTCCTTTTCAATTTTAAAGAGTAAGTTTATTATAGACAGGAGAGAAAAGAAACTTGCATAGACAAAAGCAGGCAGAAAAAGCTGCCCTGAAAGGGACAGGTTTGCAGGGAAAGATACCTGCATGGTTGCAGGCGAGTGGCCCTAGGAGAGAGGCCTTCCCTAAAGGAGGTCAGTGCAGACAAGTCCAGCATGGTACAGGTCAGGGCAGGCAGGATGCTGCTGCCCACGGGGAGAGTGGGTGGGAAGAAGCACCTGCATAGTCACAGGTGGGTAGAGGAGTGGCTGCCACCTTTTTTTTTTTTTTTTTTTTTTAAATTTATTTATTCATAGAACTGGGGTGTAGCCCAGAGATGTGTGTGGGGAGTGTGAGAAGATTCACCAGAACAGGCAGGTCTACTGAAATACTCTGTTGAGAGAAGCAGGTGAAACATGAGCTCTGCTGTGCCATATGAGATCCCTGGCATGGCATAATGGCTGGCAATATCTTGATAGCACTGTCTTTAACCCCTAGGCCACCCAGGGAGGCCCCACCATAACTGCTCAGGAGCTCATTTCAAGAGCATTCTCATTTGTAAATAACTTCAGACTTGCCTTATTTCTAATAAGTGTCTAGAAATGAATTCCATGCCCCATCAAAATGTCTATTAAACTTACAGGCTTTCCCATATATTATTACCTGGCCCTCATACTTGTTATGATCTGCATCTCTGGTAGACTACCTTTGAACTAACACGTTTTTGCTTTTACCATACATTGTACAACTTCATACTTTTTTTTTTTTTAAGATTTATTTATGCATATAAACACTAGGGTACAGGCCAGAGGTGTCGGAGGTGAGAGGAATCACCAAAGACACGGAAGGGAACAGAACAGGCAGATCAACTGTAGGGGAGTGGTAGGCAGGTCAGGAGAGGTTTGCCATGCCATGTGGGTCACTTCCCTGGCCAGGGATTGAACTTGTGCTGCAGTGGCTTAAGATAGCTTCATAGTGCTGTGCTTTACCCCATTACACCACCAGGAAGGCCCAACTTCATACTCGACAAAATGCCCCACTAAAGACTATTACCTTCAGTGAATACACTATAAACAAGATACACTCGTCATTGACCAGATCTTGATCAAGATACACTGTTGAAAGTGTTTGCCTGTCCATTGTAAGTAGGGGCCTCCCTGATGACCCAGGTGGTTAAATCTCAGCACTATGAAGCCCCGGCTGCTGAGTTTGATCTCAGCCAGTGAGGTGGCCCAGCAGACCCCTCCTGATACTCACTGCTTCTCTCAGCAGTATATTTCAGTCAGTCTGCCTGTTCTGCTCCCCACTCTGTTTCGAGAATCCTCTCATCCCTGCACCATTGCCCAACACCCCAGTTCTTGTATGCATAAATAAATGAGTTTTTTTTTTTTGAAAAAGTAAAACGGGGCAGTATTTAGCTTGGCATCCTTTTTTTTCTGGCCATGTAGAACTAACTCCTGTTTTCACAGTTAGGCTCCATTTCAAAAGCTGCAGTATGCACTGTTGTGTGTGAATTGGACATTGGATATTTTTATCTCACCACTCCTACCCATGTTTAATATTGTTCACATTGGACCTACTTAGCTTCATGAAATGCAGGGCTTTTTAACGTTTTATGCAATCTGATAGCACCTACGGATTCCACCTCAGCATTTTCCTTCATCCCATTCTCAGCAGAATGTTTTTAAAGATACATTTTTATTTACTTATGCATACAAGAATGGGTGTAGGCCAGAGGTGTGTGTTTGTGTGTGTGTGTGTAAAAGGCTTCACTAGAGACAGTGGGGAGCAGATCAGGCAGATCTACTGAAATATTGCCGAGGAGAGCATCTTGCAAGACAGGAGAGGTCTGCAGTACCTTGGGTTAGCTCCTTGGCTGGGATTGTGGGATTGAATTCCAGACATCCTGGAGAAGTGTTTGGGGATAACTTGATAGCCCTGAGGCTTTAGCCGCTGTTGTATCAGGGAGGCCCTCATAATGTTTTTGCTGTTTTTTTTTTTCCTCTTAAAATATTTATGCATACAATAACTGGGGTACAGGCCAGAGGTGCAGGGGGGTGAGAGGATTCACAGACAGTGGGAAGCAGAATAGGCAGATCTGAAATACACTGCTGAGGGGTACAGTGGGCGAGACAGGAGAGGTCTGCTGCACCATCTGGGTCACCTCCCTGGCCAGGGATAGAACTGCAGTGGCTGTGGGTATCTTCATAGTGCTGCATCTTAACTCCTTGCACCACCAGGGTGGTGCTATGACAGTTACATAGTTAATAAATTTTAAAAGGCCTTATTTGTGATAGAGTAATGTGCTTTAGGTCTGGTAACTTGAGAGTGAAATGTTTTGAGATTCACACTGGGAAATGAAGATACCTTAATTTTGCTGGAAACAGTCACATGTTACTGATACTGTACTTAAATTCATCATTTTTGGAAGTATAACTTAGAGGTATTTGAAAATAGGCCCTCCCTGGTGGTGCAATGGGTTAGGACGCAGCACTGCAAGCTAGTTGCACTGCTTCAGTGTGAGTTCGATCCCCAGCCTCCAAGGTGACCCACATGGCGCGGCAGACCTCTCCTGACCCGCTCACTGCCGCCCTCAGCAGTGTACTTCATTCATCTGCCTGTTCTGGTCCTCACTCTTGTCTCTGGTCAAGCCTTCAGTGGAAGGCTGCACCCCTGGCCTGTATCCCAGTTCGATATGCATAAATAAATCTTTAAAAAAAAAAAAAGTGTGGCCCTCCCTGGTGGCGCAGCGGGTTAAAGCACAGCACTGAGAATCTAAAGCCGCTTCCGCATGAGTTCGATTCCCGCCTGCCCCGGAGGTGACCACATGGTGTGGCAGACCTCTCCTGACCCGCCCGCTGCTCCCCTCAGCAGTGTACTTCGTCGATCTGCCTGTTCTGCTCCCCACTCTGTCTCTGGTGAATCCTCTCACCCTCCACGTCTCTGGCCTGTACCCCAGTTCTGTATGCACAAATAAATAAATCTTTCAAAAAAAAGAAAAAAAAAAAGTGTGTGGGCCTTCTTGGTGGCCTAGCGGTTCAGTCTAGGTGCTGCCACCACAAAGGCCCACTACAAGGCCAGACGCATGAGTCAGATCCCCAACCAGGGGGCA